TCGGCCTGGCCCGCGGCTCCGGCGCCTCTCGGCGCTGCTCGAAGGCCTACACCCGCCACCAGACCTTGCACCCTGAGGCCCTTCACCCCCCACCTCGAGGCACCTCCTAAATTCAGCCCGCTAATCCCTCTCTCTCACGTTTCGCTTGGGACCTCTAAACCCAAAACTCGGGCTGAAATTCTGGGCATACTTACTTCTGCGAAGATAACATCAAAGGACAATATAATGTGATAAAATAAGAGCTTAGCTTGTAGAATTGGCATGCGATCGCAGAACTCGTCTGCGGTCTCAAGTCGTGCAACAATATTTTTTAACCTAAAAAGGATTTAATTGCTTAGATTGAGGAGCAATGATCCCTCACCCCATTTCCTGCTTGTAGGGTTGCTGCTCAGTGACTCCAGTGTTTCATCAAATGGCTTTTGGGTTTTTTAGTCCCTTGTACACCTGCTTCTTGCTCCTGCCATCTCAGGCTCCCAGTTTCATTTCTTCTTTTACTGACACAGCCATCTTCTGTGCTGCTCCTTTGCTTCCTTTCCTCCCCTCTCAATCTCCCCCAGCATCTCCAGCTCCTGGCAGAGGCTCCCGCAGTCCTGGACACTGCAGGGCATCACTCCCACCAAACGACGGGCAGGACCATCAAACCCCTCCTGAATCTTATTCCTGCATCCTTTGGGGCAGGGCCTGGCTTGGCCCGAGCTCTTCTTATAAAACCTCAGATGGAGACACAGGGTCCCTGGGCGCTGTGCGGGCAGGATGTTCTGCCACAGGCAGGTACTTGGGGATGCATGGGGCAGCCTGCATCTTCTAGGGACAAACTGCTCCTTCAGCCCCATGAGCAGCTGACAGCAAATCTGCGCTTGAACTATAAGGTGGGAGAGCTCCCCAGACTGAGCTTTAGGGAGTCACTTGGGTCCTGGAGCAGTCTAACGGAGACGAGACCCAAACTGCCTGCGGGGCACTCCTCAGACAACAACATTTCCGAACTCGCTGCAGAGCCAGGCAACCATGGCCTTATTCTGCAAGCCCCAAACTCACCTGTTCAGGTGAGGCCATCCCTAACCCAGGCCCTGGTTCATGGAGAGCCTTGGACATGAAAGCCACAATATCAGTGTAAAACATTACTATTACTTGTGCTGGTATGTAAGCAAAGAAAGCAATCTGGTCTGCAGGCAGGAGCGATACCACAAATGGTTGGAAAATAAAGATTCCTCTTCTCCTTCTCCAGCTGTGTTTACAGCAGAGAGGGGCACTGTTTGTAAAAGCCTGTTGTAGGGGATTAGCTATGCCAGGGCCCTGCACATGAGGAATGGGGAAGACCTGGGCACTCCTCCAGCCTGTGCTTTTTGCAGCAGTGTCACAGCCACACTTCACATTTGCTAGGGAGGTGGAAAGGTGACGTGAAAAGGTGGCGTGAAAGAGCCCAGCGAGCGGCCCTGAGGATGGAGGCTGCCAAGTTAGCAAACATAGGAAACGCTGCAGACTTGTTGCTCCCGCAGGGAAATAGCACAGGAATCCTCCAGTCGCTCCTTTTTGCCCATAAGAGCAGGGACAGGATTTCTGTCCCAGAGTCACATAGGCATTGAAAAAACAGCAATTTTTCAGCTCAAGTCCCAGTACCTGAGCTAATTTGTGCACTTCAGCAGAGCCCACAAGAAAAGTACAGTCTCGGGCACAAAGTTTGGCTGGGGAGGAAAGTTCAAAATATTTTCTTTTATTACCTTTCAGAGACTCCCTAACACCTTTCTGAATCCGTCCTGTACAGCTAAAAGCACACCAGCCACATTCAGTGGCCAAAAATATTCTTAACAAAGCAGTGACTGGCAGGAGACAGGAGTTACCTGCGAGGGTCAGGGATCATTGCTGCTCTGGGGCTTCCTCCCATGGAAAGCAGGAAACGGCAGCTCAGGGCCACGAGAATCCGACAAGATGAAGCAGCAGGAGAGGCACCACCCTGGGCCCGTGGTAAGTCAGTGGGAATAAGCAGCAGGTATTTTCTGCTCTAAAACGTGTGATTTCTTGAGCCACCAAAAGGTAATCTTTTCCAGGCTTCCGAAAAGGGAAGGGAATTTTGCCTAAGTTCAGGACATAGGTGTACAATGAGTTTGTGAGCAGCAGCCAAATATCTGAACAAAGCGTGAAACCACACTGTTCATGCAGCAAGGTGAACTCCGGCTCCCCCAAACCATTCCATCTCCCAGGCATGGGCATTTTTAGCATCCCCTTGAAAATGCACCTGTTTTGCCTTGAGAATGCCACCCCACATCACATTTTTGGATATCTGACTTGCAATCCATAGTATCTGCATCATGGACTGTCCTGGCATGAATATATGGTGCTTTTTAATGGGCTTCTGTGAGCACAGCCTCTTGGAAAAGGTGTCATTCACACCAGAAGGGACACAGTTCAGTTAGAGCCTTTATTTGCATTTAAAGGAAATTGTGGACTGAAAATTACACATGGGTGATCTTCCATCAGGAGAAAAGTTGTTAGTGAGAGGCAAAGAGGCAAATGGAGCTAAATGGCCCCACAGACTAGGGAGTGGTGCAAGAAGATTTTTCTTTCCTGCTGGGCAATTATGTGTATGCTGCAGACTCAGCTGTTTCCAGGAGAACATCAACATTGGGTTTGCAGTTTAGAGCATGCAACTCTGTTGTAGAGCTTTTAGAAATAAGCTTTGGGGTCAGGCTGCTTTTAATTAGCCTGACCCTGATCCAGTCTATCCATCTTTATCACTGCGTTAATCAGGTGGTTGCTATGACTGCTGTACTATTTATATGAAACCAACATTTTCCTACCAAAAACACCGCATCTCTCTGCAGCCTGGAAGGCTCAAGAACAAGAATCCATATTAAGTAGCACAGACTGGCTGTGGTTTGAATTGAACTGCAGTAGTATGCTAAATAAGGCCCTTGCAGCCTGAAAAAAAACCTGATCCTCCATGCATGAAGAGGTGCAAACCATGGACAAGACAGTCACTCTGCTCCTTGCCAGAGAAGCAGGCCTGGAGCACCTTTCCTAGGGAGTACCCAATCTGCAGCACATGCTCTCCTCCCACACATGCCTGCTTTGCCTGGGACAGCGCTTCCTGGCCCTAGCAATATATTCACGCATGGGGAGCCAGAGGGGCAGACACAGGGACCTCTACTCACTCCAAGCACTTGCTTTCATTCACTTGAAGCAAGCAGGAGAAGAGACCAAACCCCCCTCCGTCAGAACAAAGGCTTCCCAGAGCTTTGCTGTTGGCAGGAATGGAAAGCAAAACAACCAGTTTATTTTAGTCCTGATTAAACCTATGCAGTGCAGAGGAACCAGGAATCCACCTGATCTAAGCAGCCTCAGGTGGATTACAGACAGGTCAAGGAAAAAGTATGGTTAGGGAGGACTCCAATGTGATTTTTCTCACTCATTTCATGTCTCCACCCTGAGCTGGTGGAGCTTCTCCCAACCTGGGCAAGCAGGAGATACAGCATCCCAGCAGGCATGCAGAAGGATGGACATCCGGGCAGCCACAGGACTACCAGCTCTGCTTCCTCCGCCAGACTGCTGGGACAGGGCTGAGCTGGAGCAGAGCATGCAAGTGAGTGCACACACCAAAGGGGCTGGGGGTACAAGAGGCCCCCAGTGCTGCATTACAGCATTGTAAAAGCCACTACTGTCTAGTGGGGAGGGTAAGAGGGGACAGGGATGTGTCTCACATGTGGTGCATGAGATGCAATGGGTCTGGCCAAGTGAGAGGCACAGCTCCAAGGAGGCTCTTCTGGGGCCATCCCTGGAAGGAAGAGCAGCTCATCTCTGCAGATGAGTAGGTTCTCTCATCTATATTTTTAGGAAAATCCCAAGTAGCATGTTAGGAGCAAAGGGGATCTTTGTAGATATGCTAATGCTTATTTTCCAGGAGCTATATTTAAAATCTGCTCCCTCCTGATTGCCCTCACAGGGCAAGACCAGCTGTGAGAGGGGTAGTTAGGCACCTGCTTCCCCTGCAAACAGCTTAAGACTACTGAAAAGTGCACTGCTAGGCTTATGTTTTTCAAAAAAGTACTTTTCAGTTTGTTCTACATCCCTTTTGTTTTTTAACCAGATTCCAAAGAGTGAGTGTCATGCTACAGCCCATTGGCTAAGGTTGGGGAGGGAAAAGTGGTTTTGGACTAACTGTCAGTCAAGTATTATCAGTGTCATGTGTAGCATGCAAGATTGCTGTACCAATCAGTTTTGCAAGAATGGAAACTCTTGGCCCAATCAGTTGCTTCTGCAAGTTTTCTTTGCGACAAACCCCTAACTCTTATATCAGCATTTTTCATCTAACTTCTGCAGCTCTTCAGCAGGGCAGAGAAAATCATTGCCCCAGGGAGAGCTAAC